ATACAACTTGGCAATGGCCCGGGAAAGGTTGCTGTCATGTAGCCATGAAAGGTGGAGGCACACACGGCTGAAAAGCTTGGCGAATTGTTAGTCCGAATGTAATTAGCCAGGAATCGGGTTTGTCCGAAAATCATCACTGGCGAATTGTTTTGTTTGTCACTTGGCGCACCGGAGGCTAGCGGTGGCCTATTGAGTTCTATGTAAAGGTATTACTTACATAACTTGTGAGGGACAATTGAAGTTAAACCAACATATGAGAATTTTGAGAACTAGAAAATGCAAGAACCAGAGAAGTTGTTTGCGACGGAATGTTGAGATAGTGGCTGCACAAGGGTTTTCTTTGTGTTTATGTTTGTGTTTGAGTTGTACGATTAACTTAACTGTCTCTTGTACTATTTATACTTGGTGAAGAATAAATATTTTGGTGGATGTAGAGTCTAGACAAGAGTTTTATAAAGCACTTGCTCGTAATATTTTCTTTCTCGTTCATGTAATTGTTTCTGTTGTGAATTGCAAGGTGGTGATTCTTTTGAATCTCAGTTTGCAGTTGTACGTCTACAAGTGGTGTCAGAGTCGGTTCCTAGAGTTTCAGATTACTTCTTAGCTCTTATTCACCATTTGGTAGAGAAGTGTAGAGAGAGAGACAAAATCAGGAAGTGTAGAGAGAGACAGAAGTGTAGAGAGAGAGAGAGAGAGACAAAATCAGGAAGTGTAGAGAGAGACAGAAGTGTAGAGAGAGAGAGAGAGAGAGAGACAAAATCAGGAAGTGTAGAGAGACAGACAAAATCAAAGGCAGCCTAAAAACTTAGTGAGTCAAACATACATTTGTGTTTAGTGTCCTAGCTAGCTCCGCTTGTCCAAAAACCCACAAAAGTTAATCAGGAAAGTAAATCAAAACACACATTCGTGAAAAAGAAGAGAAAGGGGGTGGAGTTCTCTTGGTTTTGGAAGAGTGGACCCAGTGGGAGTCCACAACAAGCTATTAGCCTCTCGGTAGAACGCGTTTCTGATAATTAATTGTGTGGTCAAATTAGGAAGAAATTAACCCATGAAAATGACCTCGTTATCGATGAATTTCTTATTGGGCTTACGGTTACCTGCATGTAATGCACTATTTTTAAATACTAAGTGGATTTTTCATTTATTTTCCGTTATCTTTTGTAAACATTTGTTTCCTTTTTGCTTTGGAAGTTTATTATATTTTCAAAATCACGATTATTTAAATTATGCGAATTTACAGATTGAGGATAAGTTTTAGCGCCTCTATAGCTCAAGAATACTCATAGATTCACTTCCTAGTCTAGATGAGAAATATAGATCCTTTTCTTAATGTTTTTGTTTTCGTTACTACTAGCAAAGAACACCTCACACGATGTTGCGGGATTGAAAACTATATAAAATTTTGTATAGTACTATTTACATACAAAAGATTTAGTAGATAGTCCTATATTAAAAATCATACAAAATCTATAAACAATTTGATTGTGATACATGAGCTCAATATATGCATACCCCTCTTTACTTTGAACTCCCCTGCATACAACAACAACGAAGTCTTAATCCACAAAAATCATAAATAAAATTAAATAAAAAATTCCAATGAAACTTGTGATAATAAAACTTAATCACAAGTTTCATCTGGGTAATTATCAAATATCCGAAAAAAAAGAAGATTAAAAGAGTCAACTGAGAGAATTAGAAGAAGATTTAAATACTTACAAATAAAAACAAAAAATAAACCAAAATCAATATTAACATTTTCTATTCATGTTCATGGTTGTCTACATAAGCATATTTGTTGATTACCCTTGTTGATTTGAAAGTTAAAGCAAAGGCTTTGGCCTTTTATGGCATATTAAATACCTCCCTTAGTGTAAAAAATAAAACGACACTGCATCAGCAGCAAGCTCTGTTTTTCAGTTTTTATTTTTATTTTTTATTTTTTTTTTATCAAAATCCACCTTCACCCCTTGACAAACTTGCAGAATATGTGATAAAATGTCTAACTGAATGCGCAGAACTCATATCAGAACCAGCAAATGACTAATGTCTTGGTCCTATATATATATATGTTGTGTTATTCCTTGAATTTGAATACATAGTTTTCTCTAAAGTTGTTGCGGCCTTTAGAGTGCAGAATCTCTGTACAACTTGCATTTTGGACCAAGTATAGTGGCAGCATAAGCCCTTGTCTCGCAGTCTCTCCCAGCACTCAGTCTTTCTACCTTCGAAAGCAATCGTTATGTTTTAAGATGTATTAAAACGTGTCTTTTGTTGGACTGAGACATTTCATCTCTATTTCCTCACAATATCTCCCTGATTATTCAGCCATTTATTTACATCTGTGAAATTCAAATTCAAACTCAGAAGAATGCACACACCAAACTTAGATTAGGAAAACCCCCCAATTACCCAAAATCCCACCATATTTCCAGATGGACTCTACAAATTCAAAAACCCTCCACATGCAATCACTAAAACCTATTAAATTTGGTACAATAGGTTTTAGTTTTGGTTCATACCAGACCTGTGGACCAGTTACTTCCCCCTATACCTTAGTTGTGGAGTGCACGGGAGTTGGACACCTCAAAATACAACTCCACCCAATGTCTACATGAGATTATCCCTTTTAGAATCAGTGGAGCCCTGGTTAGCTGCAACGTAAACCTTAAAACATTACCAAAAATTCAGAGCTATTTCGTAAAACTTTAACTCCCAAAATTTCAAATAATTCCGAACCGATAAACCTTTCAGAACCCTAAAAATCACAGATCGGAGATACTTACTTGTCATAGGATTTAAGCAGACTGGGCAGCTGCGAGGAATTTTCGAAGGAGAGAGCGGGACCTTTAGAGGGGCACCAAATGCACCAATCCTCTCTCCTTCATCTCAGAAACCAAAATCACTCGTTGCATGCCTCGTTACAGTTCCAGCGAGGAGAAGGTTCTTTTTTGTTGGTTTGGTCGTTGTCGCCAGCTGGGTCGCGGGGAGAGGAGTGAGAGGAATGGAGAGAAAGGAGAACGAAGAAAAAATAAAATATAAAATACATACAGTATGTATATGTATCTATGTATATGTTTGTGTGTGTGTGTAGGATGAAGTGCCGATTTAGTTATGAACTATCACCTCAGTGAAAATTTTAAATCCTTAAATTATTTTTTTTTGGTAAAATAAGTTTCTAAATTCATTAAAAATTGTTAATTTCATCCCTACTATTATATTCAAAGCTATTTGATCCAATTTTTCATCAACGTAAATCACTTGACACACTTTAGAGTGTAATACCGTCATTAAAAATTGTTAATTTTTCGTCAACGTAAAAATTGTTAATTTCATCCCTACTATTGTATCACATGTAAGTAATGTGACTTAAATTGATAGAAAATTGAATATAGTAGTTTCGAATATAATATTAGGGATGTAATTGACATATTTTATAATTCAAGGACTGATTTTTTCTGAAAAAAATAGTTTAGGGAGCTAATTTTCATTAAGGTGATAATTCAAGGACTAAATTGGCAGTTCACCTTTAATTTTAAGGAAAACTAATGAAAAAGACTTGAAAATTTTGAGTTTTAACGAAAATGACAAAATAAAGAGTAAAGTGAATAGTCTCAGGATTGACTTTTTAGTGTAAAAATATAGTTTTTTGTTAAAATGAACAGTACCAGGAGCTTTTAGTTAAAATTGCCTTAATTTTATGGTTGCCACCTTGTATGGATATTGTACATGCTTTGGTGATGGACATTATGTCTTTGCATAATGTGGTAATCCGACCTGTATGTGGAATGATTGTGTTTTTGAACAAAGGATGTTGGATAATAAGTACATAGAAGGTTGTTTTCTTAAAATAGTTGTAGTAGAAGATTTGTTTTTTTACTCATTTTGTAGTCTATTTGAGGGTGTTATAACTTGTTCGATATATTTGCTTATCTGTTCTATTACTGTCAAATTTCCCCAAGACAAAGGGAATAAAAAAAGAACCTCAAGCAAGTTTGGAACAAAAGTTCCATGGTGCATCGGAGTGTAAAATAATTTGGATTTTTTACACGTTAAATCTTGGTTAAAAAACAAAAATCATTCCACAAGCCAACCAAAAGGCTTATATGAAATACAAGCTAATTTGAAAATATTTCTACAATTCACTTTCTCGAACCTTATCTTTCATTTCTCTATACTCTATATGTATAACGAACTTTGCAACATAATTGTGTAAAGATTAGTGAGTTTTTAATGACTAAGTATTTGAATAGTGATAATTCTTCTTTCAATGTTAAAACTTAAAAGAGTTCCAAAGAGTTCTTTTAACTTCCTTTTCTTTTCTGGGTCAATAACGACCGTTGCCACGCTGATTTCACTATCTTACATGGTAATCCAACTCGGACATACAAAATTCACCTTCAAAAATTGGTGCCGTTTTGTTCCATGAGCTTTTAACCTAACTCTAACCAATAACCCAACCCTCAGATCATGGTTCCCAGGCTTATATAACATATATATATATATATATATATATATATATACACACACACATCTAAACATGTACCCAGACATTTTAAAAGAAACAAAGACATGAAGCAGATTTGACAAAAACAAGATTGCAAGTGCATGCATATATAGAAAGTGGGGAAAAAACAAAATTGAAGACAGCAATATATATAAAGGAAAACTAACGAAAAGTAAAAAAAAAAAAACTTCCCTTTTAATGAAAAATCATTTTTAAAGGTATAGTGAATAGCATCAAGGAAATGTATAAATGTGGTTTTTCGTTAAAAATGAACAGTACCGGTAGTGTTTTGTTATATTGATCGATTACGTACAAAATAAATGTAGTATATCAAGTAAGAACACTATTACATTAGATCAAAAACCGTAGTGTAAACGTTTTCCAAAAAAAAAAAAAAAACCGTAGTGTAAACAATATGATCGATGATACTGGTCAAATGAAAAATCTACAAATTACAACAACAGAATAAACAAGTACAACATGTTGATCCATATTAATTGTTCCAAAGGTCGTCCAAGTCTATCATAGTGTCACCAGGGGTGTAGTCAAAATTAAGAGGCAGAAGTTGATCCATATCCATAATATGATGATTCTGATGAAGATTGGCTGGACTAGCTAGTGAAGAAGCCACGATGGGATCGGCAACAACGTAGTCTGGCTGGTGGTCTTGCGTAACGAAATAGTGTGGTTGATTAGCAAACCCAGTAGTAGCAGTCTGCGGCGGATCATACTGAGAGGAAACAGTACTTGGGTCTTGTGTACTGGAGTAGTAGTACTGTGGCAAGCCCGTCATAACATTAGTTACAAAACCATTGTGCTGAAGATAGTCTTCTTGGCTAGACATAGACATACCTAGTGAAGAGGCCATAGCTGGGTCTACGACAAAATTTAGCTCAGGGACACATACGTAATCATCTGGCATCGCCATAATCGTCATCGGTTCTTCTGTATCATAGTAGTATTGTGGCAAGTCTGTTACATTACTCTGCATTTGTTGCTCCTGATTGTCTGGCCCAGCCATAGCCAGTGATGAGGAAGCCACAGTTGGGTCTTGTATAACAAAGTAGTGTTGCTGCTCAGCAGGCCTAGTTGGCAAGTTTGTAACGTTGAGAGGATCACTAGTAGCAGTCGCCTGCGGAATCTCATACTGATTAATAACCTCAGAGTACTGTTCTGGCTCACAATAGTAGTAAAGTGGCTGATCCACATTAGTCACACTAATACTACTACTAGTACTAGTTGCATTAATAGTAGTCTGCTCCTGCTGCTGCTGATTGTAGCGATCGCTATTAACCTCAGAAGACATGGGAGTAACATAGGATTCATCAATATTCTCTGATTGCATCCGAATCCTTTTGCTCTGGGATTGTACTCCACCAGTCTCCTCGTGATCCTCCGCCTTTCTCTTTCTGTCAAAGTTCTTTCGAACCCGGCAGACTACATATTCAGCATCATTCGGACGACTACTTGGACTTGAGTTAATGCGCATGACCTGTTTAGGGTGAAGGCTAAACTCGTGCATAATCCAGCAACCGCTTTCTTGAGGATACTTAGTATTCTTGTATTGATACCTTTTAAAGAAACCTATCGTCTCCTTAGTCTTGGGATCCTGGACTTCAGCCCCTGCGGTCTCGCCCTTCCATGTCCCAGACCCTATGGTGCGAGCCACTCGGGAACCCGTACCCTTGGCCGGCTTCAGCTTGGTGAAGAAATAAAGGTCTTCATCCTTTTCTAAATTCTGTCCGCCATTGTTATTCCATATATCTCTTGCCTCCATGCTACCATAAAGATCGATCTCAGGAATAACATTCTCATCCCTAAAAGGTGTGCCACGAACCTTGTTATACAGATAGTATCCGACTAACTCGTCGTCTCTTGGATGAAACTTGTAACCAACGGGAAAGGTATCAGAATGTGCCATCGATAAGGAAGGTAGATATAGCTAGGTTTCCCTTCGACTTTGTTGACAAGATGGAATATTTATTGTGAGGCAGATGGTACGACGTACGTAGTAGGGTGTACTATGTGGAGGAGAAGAAAGTTTGATTAGGGTTAAAGGGATTTCTTGGAGTAGCGAAGTGGGTTTAATGTGAGTGCTTTCTTTACTTGCTCTCCTATATATAGATGTAGGGCACCGCCTCTTTATGATTTCCATTTAATTAGCATGCAATTTGATTCCGAGTAGATAGGGTTTCAATCTTTTTTGGTCGAAAAATCAGGGTTTTCATTATATATCAGAAATCTGTTTGGATTAGGAAAAGGGTTGTTTTATACACACCCACAATGTTATGAATCTACCCCACATTCAAAAATTCTTCTAAAATTTCAACTTTGTCCCTCATATTTCTGAAGCCACCCCACCCTAAAATAAAAAAGAAACACCAAACATCTCCTTTCGACGGGTACCCATCCCTAAACCCCATTAGCTTATCATCTCCGACCTCTCTTGTTCTCTCTCTAACACCCTAAGTCCCCAACACCCAAACTCACCAACCCTGTTTCCAAAGAAAATACAAAAGAATGTAATAGTCCTTCACTTCAATTAAGCAATGAAAATCCCCAAATTCTAGGGGTTGTATACTCCCATAGAATTGTAGAAACATGCAATTACAAAATGAAATTAGAAGTGCAGAAGCATAGATCAAATCAACAAGCACTAGCTGTCTTGGCAATTGATAAATTCGTACCAACAAGAAGATGAACTCTAGAGAAAGGTGGTGCCATGGTGAGTGGATGGGTGTGAGGTGGTTGGCTGCCTTCAAATAATTTGACTGGTTGGATTTTCTTTTTCGCACCTTAATTCAAATAGGGGTAAAAGAGAAAGTTTACGTGATAAATTTTAAGTGTGGGGTGTCTTCATAAGATTGTGGGGGTGTGAATAGAATCTCAATACTACTAATAATTTAGCTAATGTAACCCAAAAAAAAAAGAAATTAACTAAAACACCCACCCCATTTTTATTTTTGGAAATTAACACCCAACTTAACTCATTACCCCAACCGTACTTTAACACTCTGTTTGGATTAAAAAAAAAAAATTGACAAGTAAAATTGTTGTGCGGAAAAAAAAAACTTAGGATTTGGGACCTCCAAGGCTCAAGTTTAAAATCTATGTAAATAGTTGTTATTTCTAAAGTTTCTTGAGTGAGAGTTTGTATTTTGTTTGATTTTGGTGATCTGAAAATTTTGATACAACTGTTTTCGTGTTTTATGTTTCGAATGTTTGTCTTGAGAAGAAGGGAGGAGGTGGAAAGACCAGGAACCAAGTGTATTTGAGAAGCACGTTGTTTCACTAATAACATATGCAAATTAGCAAGTTGTTGTGATTAATTTGATCAATCAACCACATAAAATTTTGCATTTTCCTAGCATTTCATCAAAAAAATTGAAACATGAAAATAGTGGTATATTAAACTGAAAATCAAAGAGCAAACTTGCATTTAGTCCAGCTGGTTAAAGTTGTTTGCTCCAACCTCTATATCCAAATTCGAATCTTTTTGGTGTAATTATCTTATCATTTAAATGTAATGAGTAAATTTACATGCGAGCAACACTTTTAAATTATGTTATGCCATGTTGTGGGAAGAAAAGTTGGGTGTTGGATTGTTCATCCGCTATATGCTCGTTATCAATAATACACAAAAAGACTAATCTTGGAACTTCAATGATACATTTAAATCACCAGAATTAAAACATATAAGCAACTTAGACATCCAAAAACTTAAAATTGTCAAACAAACTATATATATGGATAAAATAAATTTTCTACTAAAACATGAACTTATTACAAATGTATTCACATGTCATAACACAAGTGAAAGAAATGATATATTTTATGTATCCCTCTATTAATGTAGAGATCAAGGTTTCAAGAACTAGAGAGAGAAAGAGGTAGAGAGATAAGTCTAAAACTGTTGTATTGATTTCTTAGTGAAGAAGCTATTACAATGATGCATGTATAGAGAACAAACTCTTTAACTAACTAACTAACTAAAGTTTACAATCTTGTGACAAGTGGCATAATCCTAACCACTATCTATATCCTTACATGCCCCTTCAAACTCAGGTTTGAATGAGCCAAGCATGAGGTTGAAACAATGAGATTGAAAAAGTTGAGCACTCTGACCCTTATTGAGTATATCTGCAAACTGTTCTCATTCACCTAACTGAGAAACACCTTCTTCTTGATTATGCCATCCTTACTTCTATTTTGCATAGGATGCATATTGAGTGGAGCAATAGGTAATACCACTTGAAAAAGATCTGGACTGAACTCAGGATCCACAGGGAGTGGAGGAGTAGGACTTGCAAGAATAGTATTGGACTGAGAAGTAATACTCTTTTGTGATAATATTGGTGTTTGAGGTAATGCGGAAGAAATTGATGGTGAAGATATGTTCTCACTAGGTAATGAGACTGATGGTGAGGATATGCCAGTACTAGATGATATGGATGAGAATGAGAGTGGTTCTAACTAAGATTGAACTAATACATTTTCCAAATTAGGAACTAGAATTGATGGCGATGGCTGAGAGGAATAAGATACCATAGGTTTGTATTTAGGTAATAAAGACAAATGAGTATGGGGAAACCTAGACACATCAAAGACCACATGGCTAGATATGTAGAACTTACCCTGTAACACATCAAAACAAATAAACCCTTTGTATTTGATTCATACCCAAGAAAAACACATTGTTTTGGCTTGTAATAGAACTCCAAATGGTGAACAATTGTTCAACATTGGTGTAGGCATTCGATTTATGAGGTACATAACAACTTGACATGCAAGGGACTAGAAATGAGAAGGTAATTTTGCAGATTGTAACAATGTGACAGTTTTTTCAATAATGTGCTTATGTTTTCTCTCAGCCAAGCCATTTTATTCTAGGGTATGTGGGCAAGTTTTATGATGAATAATACATTTACTGTGAAGAAAGGTTTGAAGTTTATTACTACTATATTCTCCACCACCATCAGTTTGCACAAAGGAAGAAAAGGCAACAAAGGTGTCAAAGAAATCTGATTATTAACAAGAAGGAACAACCAACAATATCTAGTGCACTCATCAATGAGAATCACATAGTACTTGTATCCATCAATGGAATTACATGGAGAAGGACCCCAAAGGTCACTGTGTACAATTTCAAATGGAAGTACATATTTGTGTTCACTGGACTGGAATGGTAGTTTAGTAAACTTGTCCTCTAAACAACTATGGCAAAGCAGAGGTACATTATTCTTTGTACAAGAAATTTGAGACTTATTTAGCATTATTGAGGATAGTATTTGAGGGGTGCCCTAACCTACTATGCCAAAGATTAGAGCTAACAAGCTGACCAAGTAATGCAGAAGCTTTAGAATTGCCTTGAGAATGAAATGGATGATGATTGGCAAGTGATAGGATGTGGTAGCGTCCATTACTGCATAGTCCTTTGTATAATATCCTCCCTATAGCCTTGTCCTAAATCTAGAAACAATAAGCATTAAACACTAACCAACAATTGTTATCAACACAAATTCTATGAACTGATAGCAAATTGTGAGATAGCCTAGGTACATAGAGGATAGAATTCAGTTTTATTAGATGTATAGGTGTTTGAATAATACATAGAGGATAGAATTTAGTTTTATTGGATGTACAGGTGTTTGAATAATGGAGCTACCAATATGTGATATTTTCAAACCTTCACCATTGGTTGTTGGCACTATCTCATTAGTAGGGTAAGGAGAAACATGAGATGTTGCCAAAATTAGATTAACTAAAATTAACCCGATTAAGTTTAAATTTTAATGCTCGTAAGTGTACGAATCGTAGTATACTTTAGTAGGTAAGCACAAGATCCTTCCAACTAAGATTGATATAATTCTAACTATCAAACTCAAATTTAATTGCACTTGAATGAAAAGTAACGTTGATTATCAGGAAGAAGTGTAAAGATTGAATTCTTGTCTTAAAAATAATGAAAAATAACAAGATAAATAAAAATAAAGGAAGAGATATGCAACGAAGTAGAAACGAATTGTAAATGAAATGAGTGAATCGCTAGAGCATTCGATTTCACCATAACCAACCCAACTTTTTCCCATAATTAAATTATTAATGAATAATCATCCAAATTGACGGCTAGTTCCTCTAATTCATACAGTATCCATGGCGTTTAGAGTACTATGTATATTTTTATGTGCTAATAATCTATGACATCTAGATTACTAAACACAAAGAATTCATTAACGATTGGGAACTAACTAAGAGATCATGTGAAACCTAATATATGGCATCAATATCAAGGATTTCATGGCTTCAATTGTAAGAAGCTAGAATTCAAATTCAGCATGGCATATACTTGAATTTGCATCAGATAAACTTGACCAAACAAAGTTGGTAGCTAATCAACGAGATAAAAATCAAGCGTAAAATCCACAGCAACAGAAACTCAATACGAATGAAAAGAAATAACAAACTGAGAAATTAAGCAATCATGGTTAGGCTACATCGTAGCTCTAGCAGAATTAAATTAGTTCAGAAACATAATTGAAATTGGTACTGAATCCATAAGAAATAAAAAGAAAATTTAGTTTAGAAAAAGCCTGAAAAATCCCCTGCACTGCGCACCTTTAGCTTGCCAATTCTGTCCTCTTTCCACTTGCACTGAATAGTCCTCTTTTCTTTTTCTTCTCCCTCCTGCTTCACTTCCTTTTCCGTAACCGATGAGACCTTAACGCCCATTTACATATAACAAATAGAAGATAAGGAACTGAACAAAATTGAACTCTTCACCAACTATTTTGTATACTAAAGCACCCATTAATTTCTTCATCGGTTACCATCACACTTGTGCCTCATATCTCTTTACTGCAGTTAGCCCCATGTTGCCTTCTTTATTCACTCTCTGCTCGATCAACAACTGAAATTTCATCT